GAAATTAAAAAAAAATATTAAAAATAAAGAAATTATTGAAAGTAAAATGTTAAAACGTCAGTATTTTCAGGAAAATAAACTCTACAAAATGGCTATCTTAAATTTYTCGGAAATAATCAATTGAAAAAAAAATATTTTTTAACTTTTTACCAAAACATTAAAATAAATTAATAGAATTTTGATATCTCCATTATTTCGTGAGATATCGCAATGGGTAAATCCTCGCGGGATGCCCTGTATAATATATATTATATTTATATCTATATATTTTTTTTTATAATTTTCATATTTTCATACACTTCTTAATATAACAAAGTTTAATTAATTAATTACCTGTACATAAGGAGGAGAAGTAGAGCTTTCTGGTGGTACTGAATGTCCAACACCACCTACAAYATTCGGTGGCGATACATCAACATTACCACTAGTATTCATCTGTGAATGTTGAATATCTGGCCACGATACACCTTTATCTAAAAAAAATTTAATAAATATTCTTTAATATTAATTTCATTTTTAATAATTTTTTAGTAAATTTAATATTTATTAATAATATCTACAATATTTATTTTTAGCATTTTTTAGAAAATATTGAACAAATAATAATACATTAATTGAACGATAGGTTTATTAAGARAAAATTTTGGCAAGTGCTTAAAGATAATTTTTTGAATAATTTGAAAATTTGGCACTTTTTTTGTTATGATAGTACTTTTTATAGAATATTTTAAAGGAAAATAGGTTTTGATAAATTTAACAGAGGGTTTTCTGTTTTAAAATTATCAATTTGTTTACAGTATAATAATATGTATTAAGTAATGTACTTGATATGAAAAATAGTCGGGTACGTTATATGTTATTCTGATATTTGTTACGKAATATATTTATATATGTGCAAAGCAATGTGATTTTGTATAGGGATAATAAACTTGGTAACTATTAAACCTAWTTTTAACAAATGATGCACACATATTCTTAGAGACTAGGATAATGTATTTTGCTTCATTTCTCAACCCTTATTGGTTGCTCAGGGTGGATCACAAATTTATTTCATATTGGCTCACGAAAATTGTATACCTACTATTTTGTTCATACAAAGGTTTTCCATTGTTTATATATATATAAAAAAAAATCAAAAACAATTAGTACACTAGAAATGACCCACTAGGCGTTGCTACGGAGTTATAAGTAACATTTAATAGATATTAATTAAGTCAATACAATGAAGCATTGAATTTGTTGTATATATA